CTGTACATGACTGATATATTCTGTCAACTAAAGTTGCCAGCTTAGGGTGCGCGATCCCATTTCGCTTAGCATCTTTAAGTGCGTCTACTACGTTCTAGTGCTTCAGCTTATGGTTTTGCGTCAGCCAAGCAAGAATGTTTTTATCATTCTGTTCCTCCAGAATAAAGGTAGGGTGTTGAGAATCCACCTGCTTGGTCTCTAAGTCTGTAGTGTTTCCAGACTCCTGTCCTTCTTTCGCATGAGTGTTATTAGTGCACTCGTGTGCGTTTGATACACCTGACTTATTCAATAGTCGCATTATATGTGTATATGCTTCGGGATTATCTTTCATTAATCCCTTTAAAAATAGGGTTTGAAAGACTTCGGGCTTGGACTTTATGTTATTAAACAGAGTCCTGGCTAGAGACTGACGCTTCTTAACTGTAATGTCATTAGTAGATTGTTTTTCCTTAACGTTCAATTTAGTAGAGAGTGGAATCTCTGATTCTTTGACCTTGTTAAGGAAGGTCTCAGAAGGGGTCCATTTGGTTGTTCCAATGGGACCTATACGACATATTATAGTATGTCTCCAGGGCGTCTTCTGGACGCCTCGGGTACCCTGATATAGAAAAGTATCTATTTCCCTATCTAAATATATTGGCTCGCATTGTATCATGCTTATTAATGTATTGAGTCATGGATCTTTACTCCGTAATGGGCAACACAACGTGATGGTAGCTTTGTGTATATGATCATAATTTAGTAATTGGGCAATTAACTGCTAAGGTGGATTAGCCCACACATGGCCCAAATATCTTTTGAGCCAGTTCAAACCACCTGGGATTACATTTCCAATCAGTGGCTAGTATTTCACGTACGCATTTATTGAAGTCCGGTACAAAGCGTAATAACATATCCGGTAAATGGTTATGTATCCCTGGTAGATGTATGATATCAAAATGAAACTTTGATATTGTATCATGCCATCGGCTCAGTAATTGAGAGTCTGGCTTCATTTCCTTCATATATTGAAGGCACTTCTGATCACACATCAGCGTAAAAGCTGTTTCGTATAATTAATCGCGGAAGTGTGTTAAAGCTGCTACTATGGCTAGTAGCTCTTGCTTCACAGTTGGATTATTCAACTGTGATACATTCATTGCTCGGCTAAAGAATTGTATATACCTAGGTTTATTATCTATAACCTGGTATAGTATACCTCCGAGTGCTAAGTCTGATGCGTCTGTTGCTATTTCAAAAGACACGCCATCGACTGGTCCTTATACAACAGGGGCTTGTTGGACTGCGTGCTTGAGCGCTTTAAATGCATCATCGCACTCTTTAGTCAATAAGTCTCCTAGTTTGCCTTTATGACATCTTAAGTGTCCAAAGGGTATAAGATAATCAGCCAAGTGTGGTACTCCATCTGAAAAGAAGGTTACAAACCCACACATACTGTTCACATCTCTTCCTGTAGTTGGTGTTCGCCAATCTAGCAGGTGTTCCACCTTACCGGGGTCGATTTTAATACCTTCCCCAGATATACGGCAGCCTAAGAGCTGTATTTCGCTCTTGGCGAAGTGACATTTCTTCTCGTTAATCTTGAAGTTTTTTTCGTTGAGTTTCTGAAGGACTCGCCTGACTAATGCGGCATGTTCGCCCTTAGTCTTAGAAAAGATGACTATGTCATTTATATAAACTT